TGTCTGCTTTTCCAAAAGCCTGTTTTAGAATGTAGGACTTACTCTTCACGACGAATTTCTCTGGTTTGTATCAGACTAAAATTTTAAGGTGTCTGAGTAATTTGTGTATTTTTCCCCAATGTTGTTAAGTACTATGGAATTTGTATTTAAAAGCTGTGCTCCGCAAGCCCACCTTTTCTAGCAGTGCAGCTTTGCATACAGCTCAGTGTGCCTTTTCCCCTCCCTCACCTCACCTTGTGGGTTCCACGGATTATATCCTCTGTGGCTAAATCCCTTACCTTGCAGGGGTAATTCTTGCTTCGGCCTCTGCTCCCTTGCAGCTCAGATGTCTTCTGGTGTTTCCATAAAACTCGCGATTGGTCTCTCAAAACTTCATATATAACCATAGCACTTCATTTGTGCTTTCCTGTTTTCTTTGTTGATGTTTTGTGGGCTCCCAAATTCTGTTGGACTGGTTTCAGTGTTACTTAATGTTATTCCAAGAAATCTGTCACTCGCAGTAATAGGACTGATCCTTTTCATGGGTACTGAATAGTGTGTGTTGCTGTATTTTTATTTCTCATATAACGTGTTCAGAAATGCTTGGCATACACTCATGGGATTTTAATAGAAAATAGGGAAGTGTGGTTTGTGAAGATGGGCAGTTTTATTTCCAATTACATTATCACTATGATGTTCTGATTGTTGCAGTCAAGTAGGCAGTGGCATTTCGATGTCTGAATCATGCCCTGAATCCAGACTACAAGTGTCTGTCTGCACCATTCTTTACCTTTGTTAGGAAGGTGGGGATTTTGTTTGCTTCTTTTTAAGCAAGTACTCTGAAATTTCCACCAGCAGAATTATTCACATAAACGTGTGTTGAGTTTAGGTTTTTCAGAATGAAGTAATGAAAGAATTCAGTTACAATTAAATATTGTATGCTATTTAAAGAGAGAATGATATTCTTTCGCAAGCGTGAGATGAGTGCAGTCTATCTGCTTCATGCTGTGTCTGCAGTATCAGCAGGCACTATCAAAGACGTAGGAAATTACAAGGACTTTAGCTGAAAATATTAGCCATTAGAAAAGTGCTAACCTTTGTTATAAGTATCTGACTTAATTCTCAGTTCTCTGCAAACCTTGTTACATCAAATCAAAATAGTTCAGTGCTTCTTACAGGTGGTCCGGCATTTGCCATGCTTGAGATGGGATCTCAGGTTTTGCCCTCCCCATCTGCGAGAAGGTGGTTGAAGCATTGCAGCAGTAGCAGCAGTTCGGTGCCAGGTTGCTCAGATGCCCAGGAGGAATTGTCCCACCTATCCTTCTTCCCAAGTGTTGACCAAACAGCTCCTTGGGCTGTTCACAAGCCCAGGAAAAAAAAATGAGTTGTGTGGCAGTTGCATTTTGCCAGGCTGCCATTCCCTGCATCTTCCAAGGGACAGTAGATGGATGGAAGGTGTCTGAAGTCTGCTCTTTGAACGATGCCTGTCTTCAGCTTGGCATCCTGGCCATAGTTGTCCATATTTTGAGCTTCAGATAAACATTTAGTAGTCAAGAATCAACAAAACAAACACAAAAGGAAACAATTATTTGCTTCTGATGAGACTAGTAATTTTTCTTTGAGATGACTTTCTATTGACTTTCTAAATGTGCTCTTTTAGAATTGCTAGGAGATATGGATAGATTAGTGAGACAGCAAAGCAGTTTCCTTAGGAGCTCTACAGGAAACTTCTGGATGTTGCTGTTTTTCCCGTCTTCTTGTTTTTAGTCTTCTCAGCTTTTGAGTCCTTCTCTGTTCTCTTTTCCCAAAGTAATATTACACAGATTTAATGATTAATTGCAACTTCATCCCTTTTCATACATAGAGTTGTATAACTATCCTAATTAAACATGCACATGGTAAAATTGCAAGCTAGAAAGAGCTGTCTGGGCTTGGATGATAGCAATTAAATGATTTATATTTACAGGCATCAATATTTATCTTATGCCTATTGTCTGTCCTAGCTTGTCATCTGTGGTTGAGTGTGTAGTTCATTGGCTTTAGTTAGCATTCCAGCTTCTTTTCTCTGGACACTGTGTTCTTGGCTGAGGAGAGTATTGCTTTTCATAAGATTATGTAGTAAGACCATATTCTAACATTGACAAACACTGTTAATCTTTCTGTGTTCACCTGAGGATTTTTTTTCTGCTTAAGTTTCAGAAATGCAAGGTTTCAAGGAGCTTAAAATAAATGAGTCAGTGTCTCCTGCTGCCCCCAATTGTTCTCAAACAGGGAGCTCTTACTAAAATTATTTAGGGTGATGCCCCTGACAAAAATACAGATGAACCAAGTCCCAGTTTCCACTAAGCTTCAGTATGTTAAACAGGCACAATTTATTTTTCTTTTCTGCAGTTCTCCTTGGCTCTCTCAGGGTCAGAAGCAGCAGTAGCACTTTGGCTGTTCCCAGTTGAGTCATTTGGAATGCAAATCACTTTGCAGTGATGCCAGAGGTTCCCTTTGTGCTGGGCTTTATATAAAATGCATGACAGATTGTCAGCTTTGTCACATTACCTGGGCAGCAGGGAATAGGTAGAGGCTTCAGCTTTTGATTCAGACAGAACTAGACTAGTATCGGAGGATCTTAGTCAGCTTTGCTTTGCAGATAACCATAAATCGTGCCGGAATGCTACACTGAGTGCTTCTGACTGGTATTTTGATACATAATTCCTTGGTGCAAACAAATACCTACTGGGGAAGGTTAGCAGAACATGGGTGTGGGGGGAATACAGTCCCCCTGCACCCTTCCCCACCCTTCTTCACTATCCGAACTAGATATGAAGAACAGAAGTGAAGCCTGGGGAAAATATCAAGCAGTATAAATTATCTGTTCTTGATTGATCTTGCACCATCTGAGCTGCAGGCTTTTGGGGTTGCAGGAGCACGTGCTGCATCTACGTACAGAATCTTGCAGGAAAGGTGGCTCTTGTCCTGTAATTAAGCCCTGCAAGTCTGGGCAGGGACTCTCTTCCCAACTGGACAAATAGGAATCCGAGTAGATTTCTTCTGAAAATGAAGTCGGTGGATTTTTACCCTGTTTCTGAGCTTTGCTGCCTATTAAGTATCTTGGTTAGTTTGCATGAAACCAAACTCAGTATGTCTCGAACTGCAGTGTCCCTGGAGAGTTGGACTAAAGTGGACCTTGTGTGAATCTGTGATATACTAGTGATTAAATAAGTTGTATCCATAAATTGTGTTGGGCTTTGGTTGCTATTCAAAGCTTTTGAGTTACTGTGACACTTGTTTCAAAAATACTCCTTCAGAAGGAAACACTGAACATTCTTTTCCTACTTAGACCCATGTTACTAGGACAAGGCATGAATGTCTTTACCACTTCAATTTCAGATAAAGAAAAGTTGACATTTCTTGGGGAAAACAATTCTGGAGCTGTGGAATATTTTTTAAATTATTGTGCAAATCTTAATTTCTGAGATTATCAGCTTTGATTCTTAGTCGTTCTGTCAGCACAATCCACAACACCGATGTTAGGGAACTTGCTCTGAAAACTGAGGATAGTGACTGTAAAAGTTGCTATTTGGCATGGTGAATGGAAAAAGTAATGAGATAACTTTTAAGACTGTTACACAACTCTATTAAAGCCCCCATTTTGGAAAATTCTGTAGCTATCTGGGTCTGTCACCCTGACTTACTGTGCCCTGTGTTTCAAAGATGCTGCTCTTTTGGGTCTTCTACATCATTTTATGGATACAATAATTTCTTAAAAATCAGATTTTGATTAGAAGACTTTGAACAAATTCCTTGTGGTAAAATAGTACCTCATGTTCTCTCTTCACTGTCACACTAGGTTCTCTGTAACTTAAATCCACTCTAAATCCAGAATTTCGGTGCTGAAGTCACTTGCATTATACAGTTCCTCTCTGAGGGAATGCGAATTGGAGCAAGCAGATGGAGCAAACAGATGAGCAGACTTTGTAAGCATTTTGAAAATAGGTCTTGAAAGGGGTTTTAGTATAGGAAGTAAATAGATCTGGATGAATAAGAATGGCACTCAGAGGCTTTTTTCTTTCTGGCTTTGGCTTGCCTATAAAGTTTGCTTTCTTTGAACTTAGATCAGAATTGCCCTCTTTTTTTATGGGGCTTCTGCTTCTAAAACATGGGTGCTCTCTCTGCTCTGCAGGTGATTTCATTCTTTTTCAGCAGTCTTGTGGTTTAATTCTCTTACTATCTTTGTGCCAAGAATTTTCCATTTGGGACAGGAGGTAGTCTAGAGGCAGGACACTATGAAAACCAGATGGGTTACGCATTCAAAATGGAGCTGATGAAGCTAACAGCCTCTTCGCGATCTTATCAAGTGTGTCTTTGTATGGGTGATAAAACCAGCACTCAAACTTCTGCCAAGTTTTGTTGGGTTTTTTTTTTATTTCTCTTCTGCTTTGCAGCCAGACTTAATTTACTTTCACTTCTGTCTGAAGGATGCAGGTAGAAGTTTGGCTTTGTTGCTTCTGTGCTGCAATTGTGGTTTACAGGTCCTTGACAACCTTGGTGACATATGAAAGCCTTGTAACCATGCAGGGGAACTTGCATAACTCTGCAGAGCAACTTGTATGCAGCACTGTGTATACCAAGACCATTCCAGTAATGTCATTGAACTCCTCTTCTAAATGTTTTTCTGAGAGTTACCTATTTAGGTATTAACAGCTTCAAATCTGGAATAAATGTACCTTTTAAAGCTAGTTCAGACTGCACACAGTAATTATAATGTGGGTAGTACTGTGTAACCACTGGTAGAGATCTGTTACTATGTGTGGAGCCACAGACAGTTTGCACGTTAATGCCCTAATTTGAAAATCTGGGTTTGAAGGACAAGCCATGAGCTGAGTGCCCAGTAGTGTGTTCCTTGTGCCACAGATGGCTTACATTACATACATCTCTAAGTTGTCAAATGGCTTTGCATTTGGAAAATGTTGTGAGCAGCATGCCATGTTAATTTTAAATGTAAATTAAATATTTTTCTCTTTTTATAGGAACTGGAGACATTGTTGCTGTCATGATTACAGAATCAAAGGTTAAGGAGATCCTGAATTATTTGGAAAAGAATATCTCTGTCCTGATGGCAATAGCAGTGGGGTCCCGTGTTCCTCCAAAAAACTTCAGTCGGGGCTCTCTAGTCTTTGTGTCAATATCATTCATTGTTTTGATGATAATTTCTTCAGCATGGTTAATATTTTACTTCATCCAGAAGATCAGGTACACAAGTGCACGTGACAGGAATCAGGTAAGGGGACTCCTTTCTTCTTTAAGTTCTGGAGGTGATACTTCTGTATACAGTAGTCAATAGAGAACAAATCATTTCTAAGGAATGTCCATCAAACTAGTGTTCAGAATCTCTTTGTTCCAAGGCAGAGCATGTTCCTGGACAATGATTTTTATATAGCAAAGAGTTTTCATCCTGAGCAGCACCAGTACAAGATCATATTACATGACAGGAAGGAATAGAATTGAGGCAAAATATTTGGGTTTTAATAAGTCCAAGAGGAAGATAGAATCTATGTTGGCTGAATAATACATACTGTATGTATGTTGGGAAAAGAGAGGAAAGTTAAATTTTGAATGAAC